CTATGAAGAAATGTATTTCAGATATCATAAATCAGTATTCAGTCAAGCTGATGAAGGTCAAAATGGCCACTTAAAATGTATGAACATTTCTATGTAAATAAAACTTAATTCTTAATAGTTTAATTTTGTTTTTTTACTTTCTGAGATTCAGTTTCTGCTTCAAAAATGTAATTTAGAAAATATAATACCTTCAGTCTAGTAGCGTGATTTTTATCAGGAAGAATCTTATGTTAGTGATCTACAAATGGAACAACAGAGCTTTTAATAAATGTAAAAACAACCTGCCACAGGCCACTTCATACAAATATACGTATTAACTCCAGCAACACACTTCTCCTTCACCATCTTCTTCCCCTTTGCAGCTCTATTAAACACATTCTCCATTTTTATTTTTCATCAAAATCTCTAGCTCCAGTGGGGTGAAATAGCCACTTCCTGTTGTCATTGTGACACGTCGAATCGGGGCTCTACTGATAATAGCTTTTCATAGTTGTTACGCACGTGTTCAACTCTGAGTGGACCTACTTACAGTTGAACCTCAGAAACCTCAGAGTTCCCTACCTTAGGCCAGACTAATTCAGAGTTTTTTAAACCTGCTTTGTGAAACAGACACCAGAAGAGAGTATCCGCACTTATAAGCAAACATTAAGAACAGATTAGAAAATGTAAAATTAAATGTGATATGTTTCCAAATCGTTTTTATAAAAATTCAGAGGAAAAAAGATGGAACAAAAAAAAAAAAAAAAAAAAAAAAATTGATTAGGAAGCTTCATATTCAAGGGAAACATGACAGAACCAGACTTCAGTGTGTGGAGGACACTCTGATCTACACATTACTTTTTAGAAAAGGATCAATCTGCAAGCTAATGTTAGTGTATTCACCTATCTTGTTAAACATTTACAACTGTGTAGCAAAGCTGTGAAATATTGGAAACCTTTGGAAACCTCACAGTTGAAACAGTAAAGTAGTACAGCTAAATATTAGTAGACTGAGATAAAAATAGTTTAAAAGGTCAACCTTCAATTGTTTTGTCTTGTAAATGTTAGAAAATTCCTGCTTTATACAGACAAATCTATCAGATGCTAAATGTTCCCAGTGGTGACTATAGAAATACTAAGCAGGAAAAACAGAAATATTTTAATGCATTAAACAAAGTTCTTACACCAAAATCAGTATTGCATTATAGCTTTAAAAAACTAATAATAATAATTCCTAATCTGTTTTTCTAGAAAAATCTGGAAAAGGTTGATAAGATCTCTGTGCAGAAAGAATGAAACGTAAAACAATATGAGGAACCAAACAAAAGAAGACAAGGTACAGCGAGGAAGAAATCATTTTTGCCAATGGGGAATTATGGGAAAAATTATTATTATTA